CACTTGGGCTCTACTGGGATGCAACCTTTGTCAAAGACCTTCCTGCTTCCAAATTAGCAAAACCTGAGAGCAAGTGTGTGTGTGTGTGTGTGTGTGTGTGTTGTGTGTGTGTTGTGTGTACTACAGCCACAACAGCAAGAGTGTCCCAAACCAACAAAAAGCACAATTCTACCAAGCAGTCTGACACCAGGGAGAAGGCAAAGGGTAGGCAGAGGCACAGCGCTGCAGTCAGAAACCACTGCCTCTGGAATACTTGGGAAGGAGCCGGAAAAGCAAGCATGTCCTGCAGCAAACACCAAGGCTCTCTGCACAGTAGCTTCCTCTCTGCAGACATCCGCAGAGCAGGCAAGAGGAGTTTGGCATTTTGGTAGCATCTGTAGGATGATAAATCACAGACACAACAGCAATGTGTGTTCAGCGAGGTGAGCGGATGCTGAGTGCGTGAGCTGGAAACCAAGGGGCTGTGGCAAGGCTGTAGGGTGCAGGGTAGCTGATGGGGAAGACGAGCCACAGGCACAGGGCAGGCTGTGGCAGCAGTGCAGCTGTTACCACATTGGCCACTCTGGGACTGTCCTACCTACACAATCCTGCAGCCAGGAGTCCAGTCCTGGAGTTCTGCAGCTCTCTGGAGATCAGTCTCCTGTAAGCAGGGTGTATCTGACACAGGAAGTTTCTAAGTGGACCCCAGTCCAGAGACACATTGTTGCAAGTCTCCCCGTGAGCACTGTTGTGTTGTTGAGGACCCTGTACAGTTCCACTGTGTCTAGGACCTTCTGTCCCCAACATTAGTATTTGAGCAGGAGCCCGGTCCCCCAGCTCAGTCCAACCCCAATTCCTGGCCTCTCACCTCCTATGACCCCAACCTCTGCCCTGATCTCTGGGTCCCACTGCCCACCTTGTTTCACACAGTTGTGTCTCCAGCCTAAGGGCCTACTGAGGGCCCTGCGTTGACAGTGACATCCTAGAAGCCACCCTCCTGGGCCCCTTCTTCCGGATATTCCAGTTCCCTTCTGCCTCCCTCTGTCCCTTCCCCACCCATATGGACCCAGACATTTTTAGACCTCTGCCTCCACCCAGTAAGTGCCCCATTCTTATCCCCATTCCATGTTCCAGTGTGGCTTCAGTTTTATGGCTGTCTTGCTAATTGAGTTTCCAAAATGAATTACCTGCAATAAAACTAGGGCATTCCTGTCTCTTCCCAAAGAATCCCACCATGCTGTTATCCCAAGTCGTAGTGTGAATCAGAGCACTGGGCAGTGGCCTCTGGAGAGCAACCAGCTCCTCACATGTATGCTCCTCCTAGGTCTGCTGTGACCCCTCAGTGACCAGCAGTCACATTGTCCTCTTAGGGTAGAGTCTCTGCAGCTGGAGAAGTCAGCCTCATGGGCCCCTGTTCGGAGCTGGATGAAGCTTCTGGGCACACTTCCAGCCAGCACAGGCCATGGACCTGTAGGTGAAGCAGAAAGAGGGGGCGGTGAACCTTGAGGGCTGTGAAATGGGAGCTAAGCATAGAAAGAGAGGATCTGACAGTTAGCCAGCACAGGGAGTGACTCCAGAGGATCTGTGCCTCTTTATGAGGATCCTCCAGCACCCTATTTCTGCTTTTTTTTTGGTTTTTTGAGACAAGGTTTCTGTGTAGCTTTGGTTGTCCTGGAACTCGCTCTGTACCTGTACACCAGGCTGGCTTTGAATTCACAGAGGTCTGCCTGCCTCTGTCTTCCGAGTGCTGAGATTAAAGGTGTGAGCCACCACCTTGGTGCTGTTTCCACCTCTTGTTCCCTGTCTTCCCTCATTCTGGAGCCCCATCCAGACAGGGCTGAGCCGCGATTGTCCTGTTCCATCAATTTGGAGGTTCTCAGACTTGCTACCCCAATCAAGGAAGAGAGGCTGGGCTACTGTGATTTGTGTTTGAGGAGAAGATATAAACTAAGGGGGTAGGCTGGAGAGATGGCTCTTGCAGATGACCCCAGTTCAGTTTCCAACACCCGCATGGTGGCTCACAGCTTCTGTAACTCCAGTTCCAGGGGATCCGGCCTCCTATTTGGACCCCACAGGTACCAAGCACACACACCATGTGTTATACAAGTACAACTCTCATACACATCAAATAAATATTCTTAAAACATTGAAGAAAAAAAGAGCAAAGGAAAATGTGGACACAGTTCAGCATCTTAAAGTTACAGATAGAGCCAGGCACGGTGACACACACCTATGACCGCCAGAGAATGGAGGCAGGAGGGTGAGGAGTGTAAGGGCCATCCTCATCTACATCGTGAGTTTGGGCAAGCCTGGGCTACATGAGAGCCTATATCAGAAAACATCAATAAACAACATTACACAGGAGAAGACAACAGAAAGCCCTACAAGGTGCCTGTCCATCCAGCCATCTCTCCTCTTCAGCCACCATTCCCATTTCTAGTAAGTTCTTTCAGAGGAGGCCTCCACACACAGACACATCTGACTTTGTTGCTTTCACTAACAGCGGACTCTTTACAGGCTCTTGTGCATGACCTCTTTCCATTTGTAGTTTTGATACGTCCTAAATCACCCGTTATTGGAAATCCACCACCACTGATGTAATAAACCAATCAAATCAAATTATTAAATCCAGGTTTGATGAACAGAGCAAAGCAACTCCTGGGTGACCCTTGGGAAGGCAGGGGAAGAGTCACACCGCATATATGGTGGCCAGATCTTAAGTAGCCTATAGGCGTGGTCTTGAGCAGCTCTGGGGAGGGTCTAACTCTTGGCAGGAAGATATGACATATGGAAGTTCTGATAAGTGGATGTTTGATTCTGGGCAGTTTGATCCTGTGGTAGTGGCTAACCTTTATTGGTGGCACCTGAGAGTGGGGTTTCTCTCTCCCCCACACCTTGTTGTTTGAAACTGGGTCTCAAATAGCCCAGGCTGGCCTTGAACTCCTGATCCTCCTACCCTCCAGTTCTGGAATTACAGGTGTGTGCCATCAGTCCAGTTCACTTGCTGATTACTTCTTATCAAAACACTACAGACATTTGAATTGCTTGTTGTTAGGGGCACCATTATTTGTATAGGTGGGGATGTGTTTAGATAAGTCTGTGTGTGTTTTCAAAGGCACAGTCAAGGTGCCATATGTCTGTGTTGGATGACGGACTTTAAAGGTTTCATAGTCATATATATACATAAAATAAAACATGTATCTAGAGATCTTACAATCTGGGAGGGAGGTGATGAAGAAAGAGGGCGGGATGTGGCGAGCAATATTGAAGTTCAGGTCTCATCTTCCTTAACAGGATCCAGCACGTATTGTTTGGAATTCTTAAGCCTTGAAGCAGTTCAGAGTGGTTTCTTCTGGGACTTGGGTAGAGGACACCTACCCACCCTCATTCTTCTCTGTGCCTCAAAAACTGACTGAGCCATAGGCATGTGTTACTGTCAAAGTAAGAAAATAAAACTGAGGTAGTGAAGTGAGAACAGTATTAATGTCCAATGGCAGATTACCCCAGGATTTCACACATGGGCCTCCTGGGAGACCGTGAGTAGGATGTGCTTTCCAGTGGCACGCCATCCTGGATTTCCTGGGAGCCTGTTTTAGCTGTTAACACTCAGATCAATGTTCACTGATGGATGCTAACTCTGGATCCTCCCGGCCAGAGCTGTATCTCAGAGGGATAATTAGGAGTGGGGACTCTCTACAGTTTTCCAGGTGCCACTCTCCAGGGATAAAAGCAGCATGATGTTTTCTGGTGACCTTTTCTAGTCAATTGTGTGCAGGAGACATTGGGGGCGTAGGAGGACCTAAAGCCTCCGTCCTGCCAAAATGCTTCAAAAGCTTTATTAAGAATATTGGTGGCGCACACCTTTAATCCCAGCACTCGGGAGGCAGAGGCAGGCGGATCTCTGTGAGTTCCAGGCCAGCCTGGTCTACAGAGCAAGTGCCAGGATAGGCTCCAAAGCTACACAGAGAGTCCCCATGACATCCTACTCTACCCAGATATACCAAGAAATCTGGGTACAAATGGGGTTGATAACAATCATTGTTTATAAAATTAGGCAAGTTGATAAATGAAATAAAATTTCCAAAGGTGCCGGGCATTGGTAGCACACACCTTTAATCCCAGCACTCTGGAGGCAGAGGCAGGTGGATCTCTGTGAGTTTGAGACCAGCCTGGTCTACAAGAGCTAGTTCCAGGACAGCCTCCAAAGCCACAGAGAAACCCTGTCTCGAAAAACAAAAAAACAAACAAACAAACAAAAAAATCCAAAGGCTAGAGCCATGCACCTGCTCTAAGTCATCGTTAACCACTCCCTGAGTCCATTCAAGATGACTGTAGGTCTGTCTATAAATTTAACCAAGCTATGTTAGATGGGACAACATGAACCGCCACCATCCAACCTGCCCAAGTATCATTTACTATGTGGCATCAGCAAGCGTACCTATGATATGAAGCACGTGCCCACATGTGCAGGCACACACACGGTACCCCAAGAGAAAAACGTACCTGTCCAGCGGCTGGAGAGATGGCTCAGAGGTTAAGAGCACTGGCTGCTCTTCCAGAGGTCCTGAGTTCAATTCCCAGCCACCACATGGTGGCTCAAAACCATCCCTTATGAGATCTGGTGCCCTATTCTGGTGTGCAGAGATATACATGGAAGCAGAATGTTGTATACATAATAAATAAATAAAATCTTTAAAAAAAAGTACCTGTTCAGAACAAAGGTCTGAGTCGGGTCCCTGTGGCCCTGTTGCCCCAAACTGATAGCTGAAAGATTTGTCTTACTCCATAGGATGTTCTGTCTTCTCAAGTGTTCTGGTGTTCCCTATGTTGTGTAAAACCATTCTTACCAGAGACATCCAAAACATGCTAAAAGTCAGAGTTTGCACAGTTGTGGTCTTGAGTTCCTCCAGCCCATGGCATTGGATACACAGGCAACATTACTTAGCCAGCTTGGTGGTGGGATGTGATAGGAAGCTGGGCTTTGGGTCCGAGATGTCCACAGCTGACCTTGTGTCTTACAGGGTTAGTCTCCACTGCCAGATACCATGGGCAAGCAGAACAGCAAGCTGCGGCCTGAGGTGCTACAGGACCTGCGGGAACACACGGAGTTCACCGACCACGAGCTGCAGGAGTGGTACAAGGGCTTCCTCAAGGACTGTCCCACCGGCCACCTGACAGTGGATGAATTCAAGAAGATCTACGCCAACTTCTTCCCCTACGGTGATGCCTCCAAGTTCGCCGAGCACGTCTTCCGCACCTTTGACACCAACAGCGATGGCACCATCGACTTCCGGGAGTTCATCATCGCACTGAGCGTGACCTCTCGGGGCAAGCTGGAACAGAAGCTCAAGTGGGCCTTCAGCATGTATGACCTGGACGGCAACGGCTACATCAGCCGCAGCGAGATGCTAGAGATAGTGCAGGTACCAGCACTCAGCAGGGGTGGCTGGAGCACAGGGAGACAGCATCCTCATGCCCAGCCCTGTACCGTGATCGCCAAGACACCAGAGCTCACTCCTCAGCCCACTTGCTACCACATACACTAAAGAACTGCAGGTCCCTGCAGAGAATAACGATAAAAGCCAAACTATTCATCAATCGATTGCTAAGCTCATCCATCAGCCCCGCCCCCATCCTATAAAAACAGGTTATTTTCTGCTTTTAATGAGATCGGAGTCTCAGGTGATTGCTTAAGAATTATCAGAGTAAGAAGTGGGGAAATGAATTAGTAGGTAAGAGCACTTGATGTCCAAGCATGAGGCCCTCAAGTTCAGATCCCAGCACCCATGTAAATGCCAGGAGTGGGTGAGCATGGCTGTAACCCTAGAACTAGGGGACAGGTGGGCTAGTCCTGTCCGAGAAGTTTGCTGACAAAATGGCCTAATAAAATTGCAAGCTCCAGGTTCAGTCGAAGACAGAAGGGAATGAGGTAGGCACCAGTGTTCCTCTCTGGCGTCTGCATGGGTGTTGTTGCACACACGTGTAGCTTATACACGGCTTAGCTGTCTCTGTGGGTCCGGGCCTCCTGTAGAAATCAGAATGACACCATCGTTGTAATCTAAAAAAGCAGCGTGCGAGAGAAAGACACCATGTGACAGGGTTCAAGCAGAGGGGTTTTTTATTAGGGAAAGGGGTCAAAAAAGGAGAAAAAGAAGTGGGGAGACCAGCCTCTGGAGACAGGAGCAGCAGGAGAGAGGAGAAAGGAGAGAGGGGGAGCAGAAGAGAGGGGAAGAGAAAGAAAAGGATGGGAGGTGGGCAGGGCCCTTTTAAAAGGGAACACAGTGTATGTGCACAGGTGGTGCTCTTAGTGGCTGCGGCTAAGGGTGTATCCTGTCAGAACCCTAAGGACAGGCCAGTACAGATGCCTGAATACTAGGATCAGTAATGGCTGAGACAGTGGGCAGTCCTGCATGGGAACAACGCTCATACGTCCCCTGCATCCTTCCTCTTCATGCTTTAAATCATCTCTATGTTTGGGTCAGTGAGATGGCTCTGTGGGGAAAGGTGCTTACTGCCAAGCCTGACAGCCTGAGTTTGATTTCTACAACCCACATAGCAGGAGAAGAGAACCACCTCCCACAAATTGCCCTCTGACCTCCACACAAGATACCCCCCCACACACACAAATATTGAATAAATAAAGGAATAAACAAACAGATGTTGCATGCCATGCTTGACCCAGCAGCTGCAGGTGTTAGTAATATATTGTGTTATTTGGGAATAAGAAAAAGTCTATACCTCCAGTAATATTTCTTTTTCTAGAATATTTCCCATCTGCAGTTGGTTGAATCTGCAGATTCAGGACCCCACAGGTAGGCAGGTCTTACTGTATCTGCCCCTGCGACCTCCCCCCTCAGCATTCCTAGCCCCCCCCAAATCCTTTACACCTTTCAGACACTATCCCCACCCACTCCCAGCCATGAGTCTGTTACTCTACCATCCCAGCGGAGCTCTTAAATATCACCTAACTTTTTCCAGCTCCCTTTGCCCACATCTCATCTGCGAAATTTGTTCTGATAAGAGAAGGGCTCTGACACAGATAGGGAGCACTCTGCCCTGTCTGCTTCCTGGTGGGCTAAGGTAGAACCATCACACATCCTCTGTCCTCTGAGCACACTCATGAATGCTACTTTGCAGGCCATCTACAAGATGGTGTCCTCTGTGATGAAAATGCCTGAAGATGAGTCCACACCGGAGAAACGAACGGACAAGATCTTCAGGCAGATGGACACAAACAATGATGGTAGGACATGGGGGGAGAGGGGATGTTTGTGTGGAACTGTTGATAGCACAGATGTGTTTGGGATATGCACTCTGCAGCCCTGGCCCTGCCCCTTCCTCTCCCACCTGATTCAGCTATGCTGAAGGAAGACTGGAATTCAGGGTCAGGGACACCTACCCTGCACCCTGTGCCCTCCCTATGGCTTTAGGACCATGGGCATGTCACTACCCCCTCTGAGCTGTAGACTTCATCCATGTTGTCTTGGTTAGGGTCACTATTGCTGTGATGAAACGCCATGACCAAAAGCAACGTGGAGAGAAAAGGCTATATTTGGCTTACACTTCCATATAGCAGATCATCAAAGGATTCAAGACAGGAACCTGGAGACAGGAGCTGATGCAGAGACCATGGAGCGAGGCTGCTTACTGGCTTGCTCCTCATGGCTTGTTCAGCCTGCTTTCTTATAGAACCCAGGACCAGCAGCCCGGGGTGGCTCCACCCACAATAGGCTGGGCCCCCCCCCCCCCCCATCACTAATTAAGAAAATGACCTACTGGCCAGGCATGGTGGTGCATGCCTTTCATCCCAGCATTTAGAAGGCAGAGACAATCGGATCTGAGTTTGAGACCAGGCTGGTCTATAAAGTGAGTTCCAGGACAGCCAGGGCTATTACACAGAGAAACTCCAGACTCGAAAAATCAAAAAAAGAAAATGTCCTACAAAGTTGCATACAGACATATCTTATCGAGGCACTTTCTCAACTGAGGCTCCCTCCTCTCTGATAACCATAGCTTGTGTCAAGTTGACATGAAACTAGCCAGCCCACATATTAACGGCGATAGTGGTTTTACTATTTTCACAGGTATTTTTAGGGAGGGAAGGCAAGTATACTGTTGGCCTGAGAGGTGAGAAGTAAGAGGACTGAATCAAAGGGCTTTTGAGTCATGGGATCCTGAGAAGCTGGCCAGGCTTCTCTTGCCATCACCCTGAGATGTGAGGCGCTCCACATACTTATGGCAGTCAGGCATGGAAGCCTCATCTGTCTGTGGCCATTGTACCCAGGACTCTGAGGTTCTACCATGGCTGCAAAACGGCAGGTCTCAGGTGGAGGACAGGTGGTGAGAGGTTCATGAAGGTATTCCCTATGTCCTCCTTTGCCTCAAATGTGAGTTTCTTGCAGGACCCCAGCAAGGGTGAGGTAGCCTCGTGCCATGACTTGATTCTGCCTGTCTGTCTGTGACTTTGTAGAGCCAAGACTGATTGGCTTTTGTTCCACCAAGAAATGCACCATTAAGGGGGAAAAAGGCTCCCTGGGTTGTGCTGAGATTAAATGTACGCTAATGCACAAGAAAGTGCCGTGAGGAGCCTCAAGTGCTGTGCGCAGGTGAGCTAAGGACGGAGCTCAGCAGGACACGAGGTTCTCGTGGAACTGTAGACAACAAAAAGCTTTCCAGACAGCAAGGAAGTGCCTTTCAAAACATGTTCACACACAAAGCAAGACAGCCTCTTGCCTGGTGCTGCCTTTGGGCCGACTTCAAAAGCATTCTTCGCTCTCGTGTGTGTCATGACTCCAAAGCTTTGATTCCAGCGCACTACGTTGAGGCTTGGCCATTTCCCAGGCTTGGCTTTCTTCTCCATGAAATGGGGAGAAACCCACTTGCACAGGTATGAGGCTAAAGCAGCTCCATGCCGATGGCACACTAATAAAATCTGTGGCTATTGTTTCTGATTGTCAAGACCAGGAGCCTTGCCAGCATCAGAGGGTGGTGGACTGCGTACCCATTGTACACATCACAGTTGTTTTGCCACTGAGGCCACTGGACAGAGAAATCGTCCCTGGAAGCCAGTGGCCAGTTGCTAGTGCTCAAGGGAGGAGGTAGGGCTACAGAGAAGCTGGGTCCAGACAGGAGGACAGCAAAGGTGGGCGGGGATACAACTGTCATCCTCTGGAGCTCTGCAGGAGGAGGCACTGTGATGATTAGCTTTAACTGCTAACTAGACCCACCTCAGATGTCTTTTTTTTTTTTATTTAAGATTATTTATTTTAGCCTGACAGTGGCTTTAGCTTGGTAACAGAAATGGAACTTGACCATCTCCCCAGCTGCCCCAGTGCATGATGACTCTCCAGGCCTCTGGGTGGGGCTGGCAGCTTACTTCAGACCCAGAGTTCGTTACTAAACCCAATGACTTGAGTTTGATCCCCAGGACTGACATTTTCGTGGTGCAAGCAGAACCAACTCTTGCAAGTTGTCCCCTGAGCACGTGTGCCTCAATGTGACACGTGGGCCCACACACATACACACGGTAAATAAATGTGTGTATTCATATGTGAAAAGGAGTTGTAAATTCACCAAAAGTAAACAGAAAGTAGATATTGTCCATTTTCCAGAAGGTTCCAGACTGTGACCAGTGGTCCCGTCCCTCTTAGAAGTCTCCCTTCTTATTAGCACTGACTAATGCTTTTTCTCCCACTTTTGTCCTTCAGGCAAGCTGTCCCTGGAAGAATTCATCAAAGGTGCCAAGAGTGACCCGTCCATTGTCCGGTTGCTGCAGTGCGACCCCAGCAGCGCTAGCCAGTTCTAAGGGGGAATGGGCTTTGGGACAGTTGCAAAGAAACACAGGCTTGTCCTGCCATCTTCAGCTTTGCTTGCAAAAGTGGATTCCTCCGTGATCTCTGGTCTCTCCTGCTCTCCTGGGATCTAGTCCAGGCAGCACACCACACCCGCCTGGCCTAGCTGACGCGGCTCTCCCCTCTACCTGATCAGTTCGATGTCCTTCCCCTTCAATTCAGGCCGGTTTCTTCCAAGGGTTCAAGTGGGGTTCCTCCCTGCCCACAGAGGAACCATCAAGGCTACCAGGCAGGACATTTCAGCATCTATGATCCCAGGTGACTTTGTGGACTGGGTGGGGAATGAAGAAGATGGAGAGTAGACAGGCAAGCCTTTCCAGTGCATGGCTCCACCCCCTTGTTCATTTTCTCTGACCAAAGCCGCTTGCACGTATATTCCGTGGTCTCCTTTTACTCTATGAGTTATGTGTACGGTGAAGTGGACTGTAACGTTTAAGCCCTCTATTTAATGCCACTGCCTTTGAAGCATGGTCCCCTGTGGCCTGTGATTCTCCCCCTGCCGCCCCAAGTCTGGCTGTGCTGTGGTATTTATGCATTCTTGATTTGCCTGATTCCACAGGAGATACATGCATGCCCAGGACTATGGACATCTGCCCTCCGTGCTGCGAATACAGATGTTTGTGTGTGCTCCATCCTCCCTCTTGATTGGTCTGGCATATTAAAGTGATCAAATAAACAAACCAAGGCCTGTGAGTTTCCTACTTTGCTGTGAACATCCTGTCTGTGATTTTGCCCCTGTCCAATCTTTAGCAAAAGTTGGTCCTTGGCATCCAGCTGGTGTTGGTAAACGCAGCCTCTGGGGTACCCTTGTTGTCACCACTGTGTCTGCACATCTTCTATGCCTGTTCTGCAATATCTGCCTAATGCCAAGAAAGACTTGTGAAAATAAAGGATGACTGTTCTTGGCAGGGCTGACTGTGACGGGCTGCCTCCCTCTCCCCCTCCGTGATTTAATCATCAAGGTAGCGGAGAAGCCACATCCAAGAGAACAGGTTCAGTTTAGCAACATTGACACTCCTGTAAGGAGGCAGACCAGGGTTCTCAGCCTCTTCTGGTACCATGCCCATGTCTGGTTCCTGAAGGTGCCCCTGCCATGGGGATGTTTGCCTCTTGTGCCCAGATGTCATTGAGAGCCAGTCGCTGCTTCCTTCCGTGTCCCCCACCGTCTTAGCTGGGATTTCTATTGCTGTGATGGAACACCATGGCTGAGTGCAGCTTGGGGAGGAAAGGGTTTATTTCGCTCACTCCTCCACATCACAGTTCATCAGCAAAAGCAGTGAGGGCTGGGACTCAAGCAAGAGTAGTATGTGTTCTTAATTGCTGTGGCATCTCACCATCCCAACTTGCCAAGGACCATTTCCAAGGGGTAGCCCTTCATTAGTCAAGAAAGTGCCCCACGGACTTGCCTACAGGACAGTCTGATGGGGCATTTCCTCACAAGTTTTTGTTTGTTTTAAGACAGGGTCTCACTGTATGTTTGGGTGGCCTGGAGGTCAATGTGTAGATGAAGCCGGCCTCAGACTCACAGATCTACCAGTAGAGGTATATTTTCAATTAGGGCTCCCTCCACCCAACAAAATTGACTCCTTATCAACTTGACAGAAATATATCACTATTAAGCTATACATTTTCCTTTTTTATACCCAAGATCTTATATGTCTTTTATCAGTACCACAATATAAAACACAAACATTTCAAAGTCCCAATCATCTTTCAAAACTTTAAATATCCAAGCTCTCTTTAAAAATCGTATCTCTCTCTCTCTCTCCTTCCCTCTCTCTCTCTCTCTCTCGGTTTTTTTTTTCAAGACAAGGTGTCCTGCAACTCACTTTGTAGACC